AAAAAAAAAAAAAAAACATATCATAGTAAAACCAATACCTTCTCAGCTTCGCATCGAAGCTGAAAGTATTTTATTGCTGTGATGCTTTATTATTGCCAGAATACTTTAAAATATTAACCATTATTTTGTTAAATGTTTCTTTCGTGTTAAGGTATTATGATTTGGCCAGACATAGCATCTAAAAAATAAAAAATAAACAAACGTTAGTATATATAATAACTAATAAATATATTTGTATAGAATATAAAAGGATTCAAAAAGTGAGGAAAAGGCTCCCCATTTTTCGTAATAATTCACTTGTTTTTCTTTATTTATTGAACATTTAGTATATCTATACTACAGATGGACGGAGTACAGGCAAAACATGCTGTGTAGAAGAAAGGGCAATTTCATTGAAAAGTGAGGGACCCCTCCAAAAGATTATTTAAAACATTATAGGAATTTTTAGAATAAATTGTAGAATTTTGTACCCATGAAAGTACTTTTTCGGTAAAATTCATTCCACACCCTCTAAAATTTACTATTAGAAATGTTCCTGTAAACTAAATTATTTATTATAACTATTTGATATAGTGAAGTAAACTTGACATGATATTTCATAAGAAGTATTTTATTTTTGTTATAAAATATTTAAGTATTTAAGTTATAAAATAATTGTGTTTTGGATATTGGGTATTTTAGACAACCTAGGTATATAAATTTGTTTTTTGTTTAAGGGAAACTACTGTGAATAGTTTTATTTATATCTTAAAATTACTTAGGTTACATGTAAGCCTGTCCCTCATAGATTAAAATGTGCTCTTTATTGGTTGATTTGTATAAAAATCTTGTTAATTTAATAGTATGAAGGTTACAAATAATTACAAAAATGAGTCAAATGAAAATCTTGTTTAATGTAAAACCCTGTTAATTGTTAAACGATGAAAACCTTAAACTTAATACTTTTCATTTATTTAAAATTTAAAGTATTGAAATATAATTCTCATTCAAATGGATGCAATTCTTTTTAACTTAAAATGTTTGAAAATTTTAAATTATTGAGTAGCACAATGGAGGGATTTTCATTAAAAATCAACAATTTTTTAAGAGATGGTATTTCAATGTATACAATGTAGAGAAATTTGTATCACACGTATGAATAAAAATCAATAAATAAGACTATTTAAAATAAGCTAGAGACGACCCCAAATAGTTGGGATAAAGGCTAAGGATATGATGATAGCGAATATGATGTATGATTAAAAATGTCATATCATAATACATAATACAAAAATATCATTTTATTTATTTTATTTATTAAATAAACGCCCGAGGGCTCAAGTACAGTACTTAACAATATAATAATAATTTAAATTAAACAGTAATAGCAATTAATAATACATTTAAGATTAAATAACACTACAAATTATAATACATAAAATTAACAATGGGCAAAAAAATCAAAATTATTTTGATTATTGAGACGGTTACATACAGCAGATATACGATCAATAGGGTTATTGGAGCCATAAGAAGTGCGGTGAAACGGAATTACGAATATAGGAAAGGACCGAATATTGAAAGTGGGAATGTAAAAATTAAGTAGGTGTAGCAGGTCTGAGCAAGCAATGGTACCCTTTACAAGTTTTGTGAGAAAGGATGCGTCCAACAACTCTCGTCTAGTATTGAGAGATACCAAGTTAAGGCTAGCTTGAATAGAGGTTAAAGTAGAACTAGATAGATTAGGATCTAACCCAAGACGTCTTTTATAGCCAATTAACCGCAAGAAACGTCTTTGTACTCTCTCCAGAGATTCAATATGACCAATTTGTGAGGGGTTCCATAGTACTGAACAATACTCTAAGAGAGGTCTGACTAATGATATATATAAGGTTTTAATACATAATTCATCATTAAATTCCTTAGTGCATCTAGTTAAGAAGCCAAGTCTTTTTAAAGCTTTTGCGCACGAATTGTCAATATGAGAGGAAAAAGAAAGGTTAGATTGAAAGGTAACTCCGAGATCCTTGATGGTTTCTACTTCAACCAATTTATCATTGAGGATATAATAATCATAATTTATTTTGTTGTGGGAACGGGTGAAAGACATTTTTAGACATTTAGAAGTGTTTAATTTCAGACCATTATCACGACACCAAACATGTAATTTATCGAGATCTTTTTGAATAAGAGAGCAGTCATCGAGAGAAGAAACACTTGCAAAAAATTTAAGGTCGTCCGCAAACAGTAAATGATCACAATAGCTAAAGCAATTACCGATATCCATGATGAATATGGCAAACAATAAGGGCGATATGTGACCACCTTGTGGAACGCCTGATGGAGCAGGGAAAGGATCTGACAAGAAACCATTAACCTTAACTTGTTGTATTCTATCAGATAGGTAACTTTTAAACCAGGATAATAAGGGATCGGAGATGCCATTCAAAAGTAACTTAGCCAACAATAGAGAATGATTTACAGAATCGAATGCTTTTGAAAAGTCTGTATAAATTACATCAGTTTGGGTACCCGATTCCATGGATTTAGATATTGCATTATAGAAGCAAAGAAGATTCGTTTCAACTGAGCGGCCTTTAATAAAACCATGTTGGGTGGTGTTTATTAAGTTTTTGAAAGAAAAGGATAACCAAGGCATCATTAACATTTCAAGTAGTTTCGGTAAAGCAGATAATTTAGTGATTGGTCTATAGTTAGATACCAAATTTTTAATGCCTGATTTATAAATTGGAGTGATATAACTATTTTTCCATTGAGATGGGAATACTCCTTTAGATAATGAATGATTAAATAATTTATGGATAGGAACAGCTAATGAATATTTACACGAACGTAAAAGGATATTAGGGATACCATCTGGACCTGGACACGGATTTAAATCAAGAGTACTAAGGCCTTGAAATACCTCTTCAACTGAAAGCTTCAATGATGATAAATGAGTCGTGAATGGACTATCGTTAGTATCACTAATACAATTATTTATATTTGGACTTTGGTTAGAATAGACAGTACTAAAGAAGTCTTTAAATAAATTGGAAACAGCATATCCACCGGTTGATAATTTATTATCATACTCCATAGTATCAGGTATTTCGTTATCCAATTTAAGACTTTTTATGTAGCGCCAGAAAGATTTAGGATCATTAGTAAGATTTAACTGAATTTTACGTAGATATTGGTTACGACAATTTTTGCTTTCTTTTTTGCATAACGCACGAATACGGGAAAATTCATTGTATATGATGGGATCTTTTGTAATTTTGTACTCTTTATGCAAGCGTTTTTTATTAAAGATTAGTGTTTTAAGTTCTGTGCTATACCAAGGAGGATAGCTTGATTTATGATTATAAAATTTCGGGGTAAATAAGTTAAGTCTTCTTTGTATCATAATACAAAATGCGAAAATTTAATATATAATTTACCATATGTATCTATTACAATTAC